TGTTATGCACTTTAGAGTTAAGCATGCTTAACCTTTTTTTGTTTGATTTCATCTAAAAGACTTTTTTTTTTTGTTTTTTGATAAGAGACAGAAACCATTCATTAAATCTAAAAGACTTTATACCAATGGAGACAAACTTCTAATTATACTTTCTCACTTCTAGCCAATGAGACTCTATATTTGTGTCCCGTGTCTGGGAAAAAGAGAAGATTATGTTTCGTCAATCTCAGTCCCAACTCTTTTACTAGAGTGTCTACCAAGCCTGTTGAATAGTCTGAGCCTGAGGAACAACAGATTTTTTGCTAGCTATGATGATTATGTTTTATGGTTGAAAAAAACCACAAACGAGAGGAGAAGAGAAGGGTGCTGAAAATCTGTAAAATAAAACAAATTTGAATGGTGCAACGAGTTTAAGTTTATGAGTCTTGCGAAGAAAATATGATGAGAATACAAAAAATTATGGAGTGGGAGGGAAATTAGGAATTCTACCCGGCCTTAACCTTATGGTTGAGTGTTGTGAGAATATTGCTGGTTGATAGGATTTTAGATATCTTCTTGAGCCATCATTTGAAGCCCAAAGTTACAAAGGCCTTGTTGGAGGAGCTATCTAACAGCAGTTCTACGTTTTTCACTTTAAGAGAAATCTAGAGAAAATGAGTAGTGGAAAGAAAAGAAAACGATCCAAATTGCACAACACATTATATTCTATGCTATGAGCCTATGAATCATTATTGTTTATCTTGTGGGTTTGAACCACAAAAAATTCTTTTGTAATTACGACCTCATGATTTTGTATGATGATTGGAAGGCGTTGTTGTAGTTCATTGGGGTGACCCTCACCCGGCCCTCGTCATGAAATTCAAGTTTTTTTTCATACTTCACAGGTTTTATAGGCTCCCAAATCTACAGAATGGTAGGTCCAACTATATTAATTAAGGTCTATGTTAAACCTCAGGAATTGAATTCTTGATTTATTCCCAATCCTAGTATGAACAGGATAAGAGCAGAGCCAAAACCAAAGTTTTTCATCAGGAGGGGCAAAATCTTACGTTCTCACTTTTCTACCATTCTGGTCAGTAGGGATGTAAATATGGTTCAGCCTTTCTATGTTGTGAACTTAGTCCTAAAGTCGACAATATCATTCTATTGTAGAAATATGGAGAAACTCGTCATCCTAATATTGATTGCCCAATTGTGCAGTAATTTGTTGCTTATGTTCACTCAACTAATTTGATAAGACAACCGTGTTACCTTTACGTTATTTGGTTGCCAAAGAAACTCACAGGATACTAAGATCATAGATAGTAGCTATCTTGAACTCATTCCTTCTCAGTCTTTTACTATTTTCGTCGACTCTAATGACTACTAGGTGAACCATAGTAATTTCTCGATTCTCTTTTTTAGATATTACTTATTCAATCGTGAGCATAAACCGTGGCATTTTCTCTCCTTTTTCAATAGGTTTGAATCAGTATACCTTGATGATGAGATTCGAGTTGTGAAAGATATCCGAGGTGACTATTTGATCGTCGAGCGTGCTCCCTACACGTGGAAAGAATGAAACGTGAATCACTGGTTGTCAATGCTACTGTAGAAACATGATACAATTGATTGTAGTAGTGTCAGTAATCCAAATTAATCTGAGTAAATATCTTGGACTGTATGCATGCTTCACTCACTGTTTTAAGAAGTATATATATCATTAGAAACATGTTTGAATAACTCTATTTTCAAGATTGTTTTTTCTTGTTCTTAAGGATGTATTGATAGAATAATAGCTTTGTAAAAACCACTTCTAGTCTCTATACTTCGTTAAAGTAACGATTTAGTCATTGAACTTTAGTTTATAATGATTTAGTCAATGTACTCTCAAATTGGTAATAATTTAATTCCCGAACTTTGATATGTAACAATTTGGTCATTGTAATTTAAATTTCGTAACAATTTAGTTCTTATTGTGATTTTTTTTTTGTTAAAGAGTAAATCAATAAATTAACGCAGGAACAAATATGTTTATAAATTAGAAAGATTAAATTGTTATATGATAAAATTTAACACTTAATTTTAATAATATTTTACCACAGAGACTAAATTGTTACAATTTTTAAACTTCAATGACTAAATAGTTACAAATTAAAGTTCGAAGGGCTAAATGGTTACTTTAATAAAAGTAGAGGGACTAAATTGTTATAGACTAACATTTAGGGATTAAATAGTTACTTTAGTGAAAGTATAAGGACCAATTGCTTCTTTTAACCACTAACGAAATATCATTTTTCTGTTAATAAAATTTAACATTTCTTTGTAAGGAAGGACTAATTGAGACAAATCAAAATTTTAAAGGTAAAATTAACCATTTTTAAGATTAAGTTTGAAAGGAAGAATTGCCTTTAAATTCTTTTTTCGTACTGTTTAGCTTTTGCCTATTTTGGTTATTATGCTTTTGAAACGTACACTTTGGTCCTATTTTTAGTCTTTTGAATTTTCATAATATTCATTTTCATTTTTATACTGCAAAATCCTAACATACATTGATAAAAAAAAATTAAAAAAATTAAAACAAAACTAGGATAATAATCTACTGTTGTGTTGAGATTGTGATAACAAATAAGATGAATACGAGGAAAATAAAGTGACAAAAACAACTACTTTTTAAAATTAAATGGACGTTTGAATATAGATCAAAATAGAAAAATATTGAAAATACAAAACTAAAATAGAACTTAAATATTTTATTTACTATTAATCAATAATTTTTAAGTTAAAAGTGATTGTTATGATCACTGTCAACCAATTTCCAGTTTAATCTTCTATTATGTAAATTAAGGAACATTTTCTTAACTATACAGAGTTTCAATTGTGTTCGGAAATTTTGAATTATATTTATATTTAGTTTTTTTTCCAACAAAATGTTAACATGTCACACTTTATTGGATAAAATTTAGATGAGTTAATATGATTCAGTAGTAAGATATTATGAAATTAAATGAAAATGCGCGTATCAACGGTTACAATTTAATCTTAATTTTAACCTACTCGAACAGTTAGCTCATCTCAAATCTTATCCAGTTCTAATTATATTTGTCCATTCACTTATAATTGGTTCACTTCATTATTAATTCATGTCATTTCATCCAAACGTCATCAGATATAGTACAATGGTAACGTTTTCATCAACTTAATATTAACAATATAGAGACCAAAGAAAAATTCAATCTAAAATCTACCAACGACAAAATTATAATTTTTAAGTTTGCAAATTCAAATAGGAACGATATTCAAAGTATTGAGATAAAATTTGTATTTTAACAAGTCTATATTCACAAAAAATTTCAATCCGGTCCGATCCGATCCAACCCAACCCAAAATATTGCGAAGAATCAATGAGTGGATGGTTTAAGTTCCAACAGAACAATTTAACCAAAGCTGTCGGAAATTACAAGGGTGGGTCGTAGGTTGTTGGGGAATTCTCCAGCTGCCCTAACACAAGAGGATAAAATAAAATAAAAAATAATAATAATAAAATCTGAGAGTGTACCCATGATTCTTGCCCAAATCTCAGTGAAGGCCCACTAGTAGGTGTGTGAGATTTACATGTGATGACATGGCCCCATTTGACACACATATTCTATGAAATTTCTACAATTTTTTTTTTCCTTTTATCATGCTTTTAAAACATGGTTTTCTTTATGTATATATTTTTAAAATATTAGATGTTGATGTTCAATGAATTATTATTTATTCATAAACTTCCAAAATGTATTTAGGTTTATTCTATCTTTGTCCCTTAATTTTAAACTCTTAGGAAAAGAATCGTTCTAGTCTATACTAGTTGCTTTTATTTTTAACAAATGGATAAATTAGTTTTGAGAGTATGTATTAACATGATGATGCAAGCATATATTTGAGTTATATAAATTAGTTGATGCGTGTTTTGTCTCACGAATATCACGTGACAAAATAATAGTAAGGATTAAATTTATTTATATATATTTTTTCTTTAGAACTTTTAAGACCAAAATGGTTAGCATTGAAAATTATTTCGAAACAACCATTTTGTCAGTTTTTATTGTTTTTGTTTTAAAATAGATATGGAAATATGATGTGGTGGTGAGTTGAGGTACGTATGGATACAGGTGACAAGTGTCAATCATGCCTTTAATTTTGAGATATGTGTCTATGGTATGGATTGAGGTACGTATTATGTGTCTATGGTTTCAAAAGTTTCATTTTGACTTTAGACTCAAAAATTTTCTAAACAATTATTTGGTTAGCTTCTCCATCATAGAAAAATTAATTGTCTTAGTCATTTCTGAACTAAGCATTTTTTTTTTTTTGGGGAAGGGGGTATCCTCTTCTCGTGATCCTTTGAGAGTAAATAATCTTCCTATGTCGACAATCACGAACACAACGTGGTAGATGGTTTGCGATTATGCTATTTATTTTAATCTCTCTCTCTCTTTTGAGTATAACATGTGGAGTTGTGGATCGAATTCACAACCTCTAATTTGTTAGAGATATATGTCAATTACTACTGAGTTATACTTACTTTTGGCATTTATTTCAATCTTTTAATTTTGTTAGTTACGTAATTATTATTTTAGGTGACTTTTATATCTTTTTTATATCTCTAGCAGAGGTTTAACAGATTGGAAAAAATAAATAAGGAATTAAATAAATTTGAAAATAAATTAATATAAACTAATTCATAATCTAGTTACATCCAGGAGTGACCCATTATGAAGACACTTATTATTCTCTCCATTCAAAAGGGATCCGTTAGGAAGCTAAGAAGAGTTGAAGACGAAGGGAATAAATGAAGACAAAAGTGATCGAAGACGCTTCAGATTCTTCCTCCTCCCTACTTCGTTTAGTTTCTTCTTTTTTTTCTTTTTTAGTATAATGTATGGGGACGGAGAATCAAACTCACAACCCCTTAGTTGGAGATATATGTCAATTACTACTAAGCTATGCTCGCTTTGGACTTTTAGTTTCCTTTTTATTCTTAAAGATTTTAATTTTTCCATGTCATGTTGAGTCGATCGCATTTTCTTGAAGTTTGATGGATCTTGTTTGTCTCTACAATTACTTGGTTTTTGATTTCTTAGTTATTTCTCATTCATGATTGTTTGAATTACTATATCTTTAATGCTTTTGTTTCTACCGGGTAATTTTAAGGCTTACATTCTAGCTTTCAGTAGAGGATAATTTATGCTAGATCTTGATAATCCTACAAAAGGCTTGATTGAGTCGGGAGACCTGCAAAATCCTACGAGTCACATGAAGAATTTGTTCTTAATCAATATCTAATTTTTAATTTTAGATAGGAATATTGGAATAATTGAATTAGAGATTGAACCTAATGTATTGGGGAGGTATAGTTAGAAAAATTAGTATTATTGTCTACAAAATGATGAAAGAGAATAATGAAAGATAGACCGGTGAAATCAAATCTCTACGACCTTTTTCTCGTCGTCTATGTTAAAACTTGACACCATACATTTGTGTTATTCCAAATTGCGACAAGTCACCTCCAATGATTTTTGAGCATTTTGGCAGTGGTAGTGATGGTGGGGTGTAAATTCCAAGAAAGGGCCTGAGTTTATGGGGTGGGGGCTCATAGGTTTAGGGTAACACATGGCAAAGAATTTGAGGTGGAAAAAAGAAGTGTGGAACAAGTTTTTTAATAATTAAAAATTGAGAGTGATGGGACCATATATCTCCCCATATGGCTTTGAATCATTTGCTGTCAAACTACTCCATCCCTAAGTCGGGTATGTGCCCCTCTAACTTAGGTAATAATTCCATCCTAAATGTCCCTCTCAATGCTCTATTTCTATTTTATCACTTTCAATCTCTATTTTTTCTCTTTCTCTTTTTACTTCTCACAAATCCTACCCTACCAGAATTGAGCATTTTGTTTAAGCAAGCTTAGTTGAAGATGTCGAATTTATGTTTATTTTGTAAATTTGAGAAGTTTAGAGTATTTATTGAACAAAATTGTGAATTTCTACACTGCCCTAAAGCTACGCTCCTCAAATTTAGTTTTTATGAACTAAAACTTTCTAAACACTTTACTAGGACAAAAATATCACTTTCTAAACACTTTACTAGGACAAAAAAATATCGAATCCATACCACAAAAGCTCTCAACAACGCTTTGACCCTACTTCCCTTAGACTCACCAATTTGCATAGTAATCTTAACTTAGGCTTTTCAAATCCTCCAGTTAAACCCTCGAAGTTTACATTTCTAAATTTAAGATATCGAACCTGCACCCCAGATACCTATATGGGATTGCAAGGTGTGCAAACAAAGTCTCACATTGGTTAGGGAAGAGAATAATTCATGGTATATAGATGAGGACAATTATACATCTCCATTGATATGAGACCTTTTGGGTGAAACCAAAGGCAAAGTCTTGAGGGCGTATGTCCAAAGCAGACAATATCATATCATTGTGGAGATAATTAGGTGTACAAAGGTATCATTGTCCACAATGATATGATGTTGTCTGCTTTGGACATACGCCCTCAAGACTTTGAGGGAGTGTATCAAGATATGATGTTGTCTGCTTTGGACCTTTTGGGTGAAACCAAAGTCCAAAGTCTTGAGGGAGTGGACATACGCCCTCAAGACTTTGAGGGCGTATGTTGTCTGCTTTTAGAGTATTGTTGAACCTTTGTACACTCCCTCTTAGAGTTTCGAATTTGGGCCCTTTCGAATTTGAGCGTACTTTAAGGCCCTTTGTACACTCCCTCTTATACATCTCTAA